TACATGATGGGCAACATTCAAGGACTGAATCTTAGACCATGTTTGCCTTCCTGTAGACCTGGTTTGGTTTTCAGACCAGGACCATGTTTACAAAATGCCTTGTTTGTAATCTGGACCATACATTCAATCCGGTTTAAAGCAATGAAGCAAAGAACGCATGCAAACCTAAAAACATTCAAAAACATTATTCAAAAAAAAAAAAAAAAAAAAAAAGCCACAGCAGGACGCTAGAGCATTGTTGACAGCAACACAAAACAACTGTATTTTATCAGCAATGATAAAATTTTGAAAGATGGCGGAGAGTGGACCATGTTAGATATTGGACCATCGGTTGCTGAACCAGGAGCATTTGACCCGTGTTCGGAATGTGAACCATGGGTTGAACCAGGAGCATTGGACCAGCTTTCAGAATGTGGACCATCGGCTAAACCTGGTTTCTTCTTTTATAAATTGGACCAGATTTCCAATCTGTTCGACGGGCTGGACCAAGTGCATGATAACGTACATACATACATTGGAGATGATTGGACCTAGGCTACCAGCCGGGCGGTCCGGGTCACCCTATTTTCCCAGGCGGCCCGGCCGTGCAAGGACCAGGGAAGGTCCCAGCCAAAAAGAAAAAAGAAAACAGAAATCCAAAAAAATTGAAAAAAAACTATGTTATGCAGAAAAATAAACTGAACAACTTTTGCCTCAGCGTTACATCGAAATTGTTTACCAAATTTTTTTTTTTTTTTTTTTTTTTTTTTTTTTTTTTTTTTTTTTTTTTTTTTTGGCCCGGCCGGGCAAGTGGACCCGGGCCACTCTGGTAGCCTAGGATTGGACCAGATTTCCCAAATTTGGATCACGAACTGGACCGAGTTTATGAAAACGTGTGTCTGTTGGACCAGGTTTGCAGTCTAGACCTTTGACTGAACCAGTTTTGCTTTTTTGGTATAGCCAGAGTCTAGACCAGATTTGTTATCTGGACCACAGATCAAACCAGGTCTACAAAATTGTTGGAACCAGTTCAACAGGATGAAACCAGGTTCGCAAGCTGCACCACGGTTCATATCAAACCAGGTTACAGGATCGAACCAGGTTTGCAATCTGGACCATGCCCCTGGTCTACACACCGTTTGCAATCTGGACCATGGTCTACAGGATGAAACCAGGTCGACAATATCGAAGCAGGTGTACAGGATCCAACCAGGTCTACAGGATAGGACCAGGTCTGTAGGAACCAACCAGGTCTACAGGATAGAACCAGGTGTGCAGGATCCAACCAGGTGTACATGGACCCGAGTTGTTATCTGGACCAGCAGTGGACCAGGTTCGCAGTCCGGTCCATCATGTGAACCAGCTATGAGACCACCAGGATCAAAGCAGGTCTACAGGCACCATCATGTGAACCATTTCGTCAAAATATTATTGAAAATAAACATTTTTTATTTTTTGAACGAAATTGAAACCGAGTTTTTTTACCGAAAACTCGTCAAAATTTGTTGTTCCTGACGCTGGACCCCCTGGCTGAACATGGACCTAGCTTGAGACCAGGCACCTCCAGGCAGGACTGCCTGGAGGTACCTGGTCTCAAGCTAGGTCCATGTACAGCCAGGGGGTCCAGCGTTTTACAAACGTCGGACCCTCAGGAACAACAAATTTTGACGAGTTTTCGGCCAAAAAACTCGGTTTCCATTTCGTTCAAAAAATAAAAGACGTCCATTTTGACGAAATGGGAGTTCAGGATGGAACCAGGTGGACAGGACGGGACCAGGTGGACAATATCAAAGCAGGTCTACACGATCCAACCAGGTCTACAGGATAGAACCAGGTCTACAGGCTTGAACCAGGTCTACGGGGTCCCGATTTGTTATCTGCACCACCAGTGGACCAGGTTTGCAATCCGGTCCGTCATTTCAACCAACTATGAGATTATTACCTATTGCTCACCGATCAGAACTTCCAGTTGGCAAGCTGGTAGGTCTTGCCCATGAAGAAAGCGAGCCTATTTGGTCTAACCGGTTCACTCAGTACTCTCTCTCTCTCTCTCTCTCTCTCTCTCTCTCTCTCTCTCTCTCTCTCTCTCTCTCTCTCTCTCTCTCTCTCGTGTCCATCTTAGCCCTGCATCATGTTGACGAACTTCATGTGCGGTAGCATTGCACGTGGGGAATCTCTCATCAGCTGCCTCCTCCATTGAACCAGGTTCTGTTGTATTATGTGATTGAAAATTGGGTAAGTGCGGTGGCGCACCCGATCCAGATCGTACGAAAGACTAGCTATAGCTTCACGTTGCTTCGTCGCTGCAAAAAAACAAACAAACATAAGAAGAACAAAGGATGAAAACCATCATTTCCAGGCACAGAGACAAAACCCACGAAAAGAAACAGATTTTTTAAAAATGTAATAAAAACATAGAAATAATAATAATTGGCAGGAAAAAAAAAAAAAAAAAAAAAAAAAAAAAAAACACGTCAGAAAACACAAATATGAAATCGCACGTGGAACAATATGGAGTAGGATATAGGCCTGTCTCTTATACACATCTAGATGTGTATAAGAGACAGATCTTAGACCATGTTTGCCTTCCTGTAGACCTGGTTT